TATGCGGAAAGGATGATGCTGGGGTCATCTTGGTTATCATTGGAGACACAAGCAGAGATTTCTATAGGGATCAAACTCATCCTTCATGATGAAAAGATAATGCAAAGTTATATTGCAGCTTTATGAGTGGTTGAATGGTTGTCACTAAAATAAAGAAATGTAACCACAGTCACATGACTAGATCTGTTAAGCTATTCACAAGCACTTAATTTCACAGTGAATAGTCCCATTTTAATAGGTAAATGTGTAAGTAAGTTCACGTAAAAGGGGCATGATTGACTTAATGGAACCCAGAATGATAGAATAGGTACAGATAGCTGAGATAAAAAAAATGTCTTTCCAAAGAAATTTAGCAGAGGACACTTGAAACTTGAAACATGGGGATTTATGAAAATTAGATTAAGACCTTTACACAGCACATTCTGTACAACTGTACACTCTTTACTGCCCTTCAAACTCTTGTTTATACATGTATTTTTATGTGTTTATCATCTAGAGATAAGCTTTGGGTGAAAATATCTAAATAAATAAATAAATAAAGAGAATGATGTGTAATAAAATGTGTAAATATTAATATATAATCCAATAATACTACATACTATTCCTTTTGACCTACATATGTAATTTGTCAAAGTATTTTCTTGTCTCCTCCACCATGATGACAAATCAAATAGGTCTATGCAAGTCAGATCTCAAACCAAAGTATGTCCAGATGGATGTATAATATATAGGCCTACTGTCCAGAAATGAGCTTCTACTGTTTAGCTTTTAATTTAGTCCAGAAATGATATGATCCTGATTAAATGCCAGGGAAAATAGGGGAAAATCCAAGGGGTAACTTAACAGATGGCACTCAGGCATTAACCTCTGCACTATTTGTTCTGTGACGAGAGGGCCGAGTTTCATTTTATTACCAATATAACAGAGTAATGCAGATTTGAAGCGCTTTGACAGAACGAAATCCAGGGCAATCTCTCTGATGGACAACCAACCCCCTTCTCGCTTACTCACACAAACATACAATCGCTCTCTCTGTACTATCTCCATACTTTCTCTTGCCCTGTCATAATTCCGCCTCTTTCTTTTCCTCCCTCACTCTTTCAGCATCTGTCTTCATGCTTCTTTTATCCCACCTTTCCTCTCTCTCTCTCTCTCTCTCTCTCTCTGTCTGTCTCCACCCCCACAGTTCTAGCACTTGCTGCAAGACCCGTTCAGCTGTCACAGACATAAGCAGACATTATCCAATGGCATACATTTGTGCCTTGGACTTCTGCAGTAATGACTGCAGCTTTAGGATTACCTCTGGACCCCCCCTCGACTATTCAACTGCAATCATTCTGTCTGTGATGGAGGGGGAGGAAGCAGCCTTTATCACACAGGGAGAGATGACATAAGTTAGAGCGGTGGAGAATGAGTCATCAAATACAGTTACTCGTTCTGAGCGGCTAATGCTTATGCTAGCTGCGCTTCTGCTGAGCAGGAAATGATGGCTTCGTTAAAGAGCTTGTATCTGTCATTAGACTACATCCACATGCAATGTGTGCAGCTAACAGGAAGACATGTAACATATATGGAGATTTGAAGAATGTGTTTAAAGGGACAGTATACTCAAACTAAAATTCTGTTCGATTGCTCACTTTCATGTTGTTCCAAACACGTTTGATTTTGTTTTGTCTGTGGGCCAGAAAAGGAGAAATGCTAAAATTTTTTAAAAAAATACTGGTAATTGTAACAAATTAATTACAACAAATGGGGAGCTTTAAAGGTTCAACAAGGATGCAAAAGCACCATAAAAGTGGACCATACAACTTGTGTGCTATATTCCAACTCTTTTGAATCATACAATGGCTTTGTGTGAGAAAGACTGAAATATTCTCTTGATAAAAACCGCTGTGATCAAATTTTTTAATCAATGAGCTGAAACCAGATCAGTCTGATTTATAAATGAATCATTCAGATTGGTTTGGTTACCTGAAACAACTGATTCAGTAAACAGATCTGACTCAAAAGAACATTTAATTCACAAATTAGACATTACTACATCTCTCACAAAGACATTGAGGGAAGCCAGGGGGACGTCAAGATATTTAATGAATAATGACTTAAATTTTGGGTCTGTTCCTCACTTAAAACCATTGAATGACTTCAGAATACCTGGAATACAGCGCACAAGACGTATAGACCACTTTTATGCAACATAGGGCATGTTTACAAACCAACAATTTGGCACCAAACGTGCCAAACGTTTTTCCTTTGCAATTTTTGCGTACAGAACGCAACGTTGTCAAAATGATCGCGAAACCGACTAAAAACGCTGCATTGTGCATGCCAGGCCAGCAGTTGGCAAGTCGCTTTGCACACCTATAGACTGAACAAGTAATACGAATGCATGATGTCACCGTTTTCATAAATTCACGTTTTTGTAGTTTACACTGAGATGATGGTAACATTTTCAAAAACATACACTTTAAAACCATTATCAGGCCCCCAAAATGACGTTGTCGTGTAAATGAACGGCCAAAACGCATCAAATTTGTTCCATTTATAGTTGAAAACAGTGACGTGTAAATGGCCCCATAGGCTCATTGGAAAAACGTGTCTCTACCTCCATTTTCAAAAAGTATAAAACATTCCTATACATACAATTCAATGCATTTTTTTTCAAGATGAAAGAGGATTACAAACGATTTCCCACGATTACAAATTATTGATTAATGACTTATTTCCACACAGTTCCTTGCAAAATACTATGTTATAACTTCAAAACACATTTCCCACAGTGCAGGGGTGCGCAACTCTGGCCCTTAAGATCCACTTTATTGCATTGTTAAGCTCCAACCCTAATAATACACCTGAACAAGCTAATCGAGGTCTTCAGGTCCTACAAGAAAGCTACAGGCAGGTGAGTCTGGTCAGGGTTTGAGCTAAACTCTGCAGGGATGTGGAGCGCAAGGGCCAGAGTTGCCCAGCCCTGCCATTGTCATTATTTGTAAACTCATACAGTTTGACATTTGCATTACATAACCAGCTCCATACGGATTTCTTTTCTGATGTAGTAAACTTGGTACAGCATTCACAGTCCTGTGAAACACACAATAAAACTCAAAGCTCAAAGACTTGTGGAAGCACAATAAAATGGCATGGCTGTTTCAACAAATGCGTTTTTATTTGAAGTTTGTTTTGGGGTATGTTAATTTTTTTTTGCTTTTGTGTCCTTTTTGAATCTTAAAAATTCAAATCCCCATTCATTGTAAATGCTTTCAATAAAAGTGACCAGTAAATTCCTCAAAACATCTCTGTTTGTGTTGACAGAAAAATGAAATTCAAATGATGATAGGATGTATTGATGATGAACTGTAAGCAAATTTCTAAAGGACAAAATGCTGCTGTCTGCATTAAAACAGAAACATAAAAATTGAACCGCTAAGCAAAAGCAATAAGATTATAACAGGCATCCGTGACTGTACTGTACTGGAGAGTAGGGCTTTGAATTATAATATCATGACCTAAAAAGCAGGTGACAAGTGACAAGCAGTTCCCTCACCAAGAAAATGAATCGATTTCAAACAAGCTCTCATTTTATGTAGAAAATAATAATAATAATCCCAGAGCAAAGTATGATGGGTTTAAGCAAATTTCACAAGACACTACAGCACTTACCAGATCTTGTGTTCATTAGTTTTCACTAAGCCAGTGCAATATGCAAAGGTCAGGATTATTTGATTCAACTAAATAGGGCATAATGATCACACATGCTGAATTTCATAGTAGGATGTAACAAAAGACAAAGCTCGGGCAGAGTGGGCAATTACAGAGAAACAAAATAAAAGCAGTGAATCGTGACTAACAAACAAAATCACTGACTCAGATCACAACAGGAAACACACAAAGGCTATTTCAGACCAATCTGGCCCTCTAGACAAAAAGAGAGTCTGAAGACATTAAAGAAGTAAAACGCTGACACAAGATAGTATTGTGAAGTGTTATTTAAAATTCAAGTCAGAATGATTTTTTTTGTGGATCTATACAGTTTTAGCAATTATATCCTAAAGTGCTGAGCACTTTTAAGCCGACGCTACATTGTGCTCCTTCATGCGCACATTTTAAATTAAATCTTCTCGTACAATGCATTGTTAATGAAGGTATACATAGAGGTCATTTAAACTTTTTTTTTTTCAATACAAACACTATGAAACATGTTTAAATGCATGCATAGTCCAAAAATTTCCCACAAAGCAGAACTGTCATGCCATACTGTACATGTACGAACGGTAGTTAAGTGTATGAGAACAATATACTCAGCAAGGCCAATTGGACCACATACAATCTGCCTTGGGAGGAACTGAGATTGAATATGAGTTGTTTCTAACACGTCATTTAGGGTGCACGTTATTATCAAGATGGATATATAATAGATCTTCCTGACATCGTTACAAATGCCAGATACTTAATTAAAATCTCTTCCGATACTTTAAGTGAAGCGTATATCTGTAATCCACCATACATCCTACTTGCATCATGGCTGTAATCAGATATTCCATGACATCGTGAGCTGTAGGGGAGAATAAGGAAATGTAGCCAGAGCCAGAACATGTTTTTCACCTTCCCCATAGATAAAATGATGGTTAACACTTACATCTGACACTCTCATGTGCCTGTCTCAGAGTCAAACCGAGTCAAAGTCCTCTTCAACAATTTATTCATGCTATGCTATGCTATGCTATGATAATATGGAATGCATTACATTGCATTAACCTCTGCACCTGCGCTAATTGAATCTGCGAGCCTTAATGAGACACCGAGAAAAGATCGGCAATGTGCATCGCTCACCAAGGTTGTCTGTAATTACAATTAATGATGCCCCTATACTTTCTTCATTTATTTCTCCAGAAAACTAATGGTTTGCCAATCAACCACGACAAAAACGTATGTTCTAGCCTGAATGTAAGTTAATTAGGTCCAGCTAAAGTGCATGAGCAACAAGCACATCCAGTACTTACACAGCACTATGAGCTCCACGATGGCCTCTCTGGGTTTGACGTTGAAGCCGTTGTACTGGCTGGTTTGGCAGCGGTACGTTCCGGTCATCTCACGGGAGACGTTGACGATGCGCAGAACTCCATCGTAACTTTCGGTTTGCATGTTGCCATCCGGCATGGGTGCCTCCTTATCAGCACGGGACCAAAGGATGATGGGTTTGGGTTTGCCGGAGACCAGGCACTGCAGCTCTACTGTGTCGCCCTCCTGAGTGGCCAAAGGTGACTTTCCTCGTGGGACGGTCAGGTTGGGTGGAACTAAAAGAGAGTAGATGATGATCAAAATGTACATATTACAAAGAGCTATGAAAATGCACATTTTACTCCACAGTCCTTGGAGGAATGTTCTGGGTACAAGTCGACAGCATTTATTGTATAATGATAAAAACCAGAAACAATATATTTACACCACTAAAGTTTGTATACTATACTACTACAAAATTGTGAAATAAGCATATATTTTGTTCAATGATTTTGAAAGTGTTTTATATAAATGCTGTTTTCAATTTTAATCTATTTTACAATGTCATTTATTCCTGTGATGGCAAAGTTGCATTTTCAGCAGCCATTACTCTAGTCTTCAGTGTGACCTGATTTTTTTTCTTTTGCATTTTTTTTTAAACTAATGTTGTCTAAAATAAATCACCAATTTTGTAGTGGGACTACTGCTCTATGTGAATAAACATCTTGTCACAGACATAATATCTGTATCGGTTTTGCCAGTACATCAATAGAGACATCTTGTCACCCACCAGGTGTCAGGAAACTACGTTTCTGGCTGGTTTTCGCCGACAGACATCATAAACGTATGCAGACGACAGGAAGGAGACAAGTTTATGTTCTTCTGCTGATTCCAGACAACAGTCTGGCAAACTACCGGCTCAGCTCCATGTAAACAAGGATGTTGTCACCTTCCTTCTTGGTATCCTAGCAGGACATTGTGTGGAGGTTACTAGGTTTACAGGCCTTATCGCTGTTGTGTTGTCATGACGACAAAAGACAGAATATCATTTTACACACTTTTCTATCACTTTAGTCTCATGTTAACACATATAATATGTGGCTATGCTATTTTTTGCCTATGAACAGTATGTACCATATTTTAATGTTTATTGCCTGGTTTCATTTACTTAAATTGTAAGTGTTTTTTCTTTAACTAAGGGATAAAAACAACCTTATTTCCTGTTGTAATGGACATAGAAATGTCACAAATGCTGTCGACTGACCCTACCTTGTATTCAACCCATACCATTCATTCAAATGTTTCCAGTTATACTGAGGATGTCTAGGTGCAAGAGAATCTTAGTTTTTCACATCAAAACCTCAATGACTGAACAATTTGTCCAGAATACTTTCCGCCAACTTTTTTGATTGAGTCCAGAGCTCAGAAACAGCAGGGTCAGGTTGACGTGATGACATGATCTGTGAAACAGGACAACTGAAGATGTCTACAGTTCAACAATGCCACAGACACACAGCTTCCTCTGAAATGAGCCACTCGAGTGCTGCATAGGCCCCTTCCATTAGACACACTGTAAATCTTGACTTTACTATGTTCAAAGTATCTGGACATGAATTGTCCAAGTCTCCACAGCCCACTTCACAAGCACCGTTAATAAAAGAGCTGCATGAAAACAAGGGCCCTTGTTGGGTAGTGAGCATTTCACTTGATTGTGTTCTTCTGGGATTCTCTTAAAAAGTGGTAACAGACTTTTTTTTTAATCCTATTTTAATACAATACAAGAAACGGTAGGTCATAATAAAGCTATCATGCACGTATGAGATGTGCGGTATGAAAGAAGATGACAAAGACAGATAAATACTGTACAGTGGAAAATAAGAACTTTTTTCCTCCTTTGGAGAAAAAATAGAAATCTACTTTTCTCTCCTCCAGAAGGTGAGTGGGAAAGACTGATTTATATAAAGGGATGGTAATGAGTATAGCATGAAAAAAGAGGGGAACAATGCTGAATGTATTTCCGATTGCGACTGCAGGGGGCCTGGTGGGAGAGAGATCTTGCGTCTGCAGGTTGATTAAGCATGACTTCTTTTGCAGACCCAGGGCAAACAAACAAACAAACAAACAAACATAGGATATTTTGCATAATGAAATGAGTCAGAAAATAAATCACATTATCCATTCTGGAAACATTAAAAGCCTAAAACAGCATTATCTATGTTTTGTGACAGAAAAAATCTTTTAGATCTACATTTGTATCATTAAAATGTCATCAGTGGGGGAGGCTGAGATTATTTTGTTTTATTGAAGCTATAAAGCCGTAATGTGCCGAAACAGTCGGTAAAACAATAATAAATGTAATCGCTATAAAAATGTTTTAATAATAAATAATTTTAAAGTTTTTTATTTTTTATTTCAAAGACTGATGGAATCCTACCATTAACCCCATTTCCACTGCAATTGTTTCTCATTTACTCAGTAATGCATGCATGATTTCTAATTAATTCAGATTTATAATTAATAAATCCATGTTGCTGTAAGTGCCAAGCTGGTTAAAACATGGTACGGTATCATCTGCTGAAACTCAAAGACTGATGTTCTCAGCATATCTCTTTGAATCCTCATGGCAATGATATTTAACAGATTCAGGTGTATGACCTTCATACAAACAAACAAATAATTATCGGCAAAAATTGGAAAAAAAAGTAAAAAGACATTAATGCATGAGGTCAGTGGTGTTTTGGATTCCATCCTGGGGTGGGCATTTGGATATGTGTGGCAGGCAAGTAAAGTTAATATATATATTAAAAGAAAAATCTAATAAATTGTAGCCAAGAAAAAATATTTTGTCATTTTAAATGTATTATTTTGCAATGCAAAACAATTTACTTAACAATATGTGTTTTAAAAAAGCCACATTGGCGTTTATGTTTCTTGCCTGTAGGTCGTCTCATAGAGATAATTTAATAATTAAATTGGTAAAATTGCCCCGAAAGAGGAAAACCTACGGAGCCCCTAAAGGGACCTTTGCAAAATAAATAAATAAATTATATATATACACTCACCGGCCACTTTATTAGGTACCCCATGCTAGTAACGGGTTGGACCCCCTTTTGCCTTTAGAACTGCCTCAATTCTTCGTGGCATAGATTCAACAAGGTGCTGGAAGCATTCCTCAGGGAGTTTGGTCCATATTGACATGATGGCATCACACAGTTGCCGCAGATTTGTCGGCTGCACATCCATGATTCGAATCTCCCGTTCCACCACATCCCAAAGATGCTCTATTGGGTTGAGATCTGGTGACTGTGGAGGCCATTTTAGTACAGTGAACTCATTGTCATGTTCAAGAAACCAATTTGAAATGATTAGAGCTTTGTGACATGGTGGAAGTAGCCATCAGAGGATGGGTACATGGTGGCCATAAAGGGATGGACATGGTCAGAAACAATGCTCAGGTAGGCCGTGGCATTTAAACGATGCCCAATTGGCACTAAGGGGCCTAAAGTGTGCCAGGAAAACATCCCCCACACCATTACACCACCACCAGCCTGCACAGTGGTAACAAGGCATGATGGTTCCATGTTCTCATTCTGTTTACGCCAAATTCTGACTCTAACATCTGAATGTCTCAACAGAAATCGAGACTCATCAGACCAGGCAACATTTTTCCAGTCTTCAACTGTTCAATTTTGGTGAGCTCTTGCAAATTGTAGCCTCTTTTTCCTATTTGTAGTGGAGATGAGTGGTACCCGGTGGAGTCTTCTGCTGTTGTAGCCCATCCGCCTCAAGGTTGTGCGTGTTGTGGCTTCACAAATGCTTTGCTGCATACCTCGGTTGTAACGAGTGGTTATTTCAGTCACTGTTGCCCTTCTATCAGCTCGAACCAGTCTGGCCATTCTCCTCTGACCTCTGGTATCAACAAGGCATTTCCGCCCACAGAACTGCCGCTCACTGGATGTTTTTTCTTTTTCGGACCATTCTCTGTAAACCCTAGAGATGGTTGTGCGTGAAAATCCCAGTAGATTAGCAGTTTCTGAAATACTCAGACCAGCCCTTCTGGCACCAACAATCATGCCACGTTCAAAGTCACTCAAATCACCTTTCTTCCCCATACTGATGCTCGGTTTGAACTGCAGGAGATTGTCTTGACCATGTCTACATGCCTAAATGCACTGAGTTGCCGCCATGTGATTGGCTGCTTAGAAATTAAGTGTTAACGAGCAGTTGGACAGGTGTACCTAATAAAGTGGCCGGTGAGTGTATATATACAGTATATATATATATATATACACAGACTTTCATGTTTCATGAGAAACTATAGAAAAGTTTCTCATGCACACAGGATTTTTTTTGCATGCTCACGCATTACAATTTCTGGTTTATGTATAATAACCTATTTCCTTGCCAGTGCGTCACTGCCATTTTACTATGAAGAAAATGAGAGTATGGGTGCGCATGAATAAAGATCTATTTGCTCAAAATGTGGCTTTCGTTAGGGCAGTGTGTCATATTTCAAGGCCGTATGTCCGCTTTAACGGATTTAACTCTGTGGCGGCCGATACACCACACCGTGAAATAGGCTGATGGCGCAGTAGGTGGCTTAGTGTGCATTGTCCTATATGGTTTATAAAAAAAAACAATAAAAATTATCAAAATTTGGATTTCGTTAGGGCAGTATTTGGGTCAATGACATGACGTGCATATTTTGTGTCCAAGCGCATTATTTTCTTTTAAAATAATTTGATAAATTCATGACATATGTCACTTAATTCTATAAAACCTCTTTATTTTTTATTCATTTTTTAGTACATTCTAATAATACATATTATTTTATGTTTTGTCATCTTAAAAGTCAACCCCCAAAATGTCAGGTGGTGCAACTGTCCGAACAAATTCACAAATTCTGTCTGAAATGGTGTCCTAATAATACAAAAAGTAAATACTATGGCATCATTTTAGGTTTGAAACCTTTCATATAAACAAATTTTCCATGTCATGTGGTACAACTACAGTATACTGTATATGTACAACTATTTGGTTGTACGACCTGAGATAAAAACAGTCAAAAAAAATTTTATAAACGTTATTTAACAGTTGAAACTTGCTTAAACACATTGTTTACGATTTTTTAAAAACACCTTTTTTGAAGAATTATTTGTCAATGACCTATTTATATTGTCCCATATATATTTTTTTTACAGCCAATTAAAACATATTGATACAGTAAAATGTACAAAAATGTTGTATTTCACAAGATCAAAACACCCTTTGTTAAACCACTTTGTCGGATTTAACACATCCTTACAGGTGGTGGAGAAATGCTGATTTTCTTCATTCAATTCTAACAGCGCTTATTGTGAGCAGAGCCATAGACATAAAAGACTTTAGATAGTGTTGTGTTATATTAAGGAGAGGCTCAAGCTTCATTAAATGAGATAAGTAGCTGGATCCAGCCTTGTACTAGACAAACTACTCTTACGAAATTCAAAATTTGAGCACTTTTTATCAGCACAATGCACACAGACGAATTGTGGCAAAGTAAAATAGCAGTGACGCAAAGGAAATAGGTTATAGTAGGCTATACATAAACTGGAAATTGTAACGCGTGAGCACGCAAAAAATTCCTGTGCGTATGAAATAGTTTCTTGTGAGCATGCAAAAAGTTTCTTGTGCGAAAGTCTGTATATTTTTATACTTTAGAAGCTCTGTAAAAGCCAGCTACCCTCTTTTATTTGTAAAGAATAAGATTAGCTCACCAGTGGTGGAGGAGATGTTGACGTCTATGCTGATCTCGGGTATCCCTCCGTTCTTTAGTGAGGCCACACAGGTGTAAGTGCCAAAGTCAGTAAACTTGAGGTCGATGATGTCCAGGTTTGTGGTTCCTGGGGCAACGTCTGGGTCAGTCTGGGTAATGACCATCCGCTCTGAGCTACGCAGTGGACGGCCGTTCTTAAGCCAACTGAACATCAGCTCCTCGGGCGGCGTGGCCTCCACCTGACAGGATATCTTCACCTCTCTGCCGATCTGGATGTTGTCATCATTATGATAGGGGTCTGGTGTGATCCAGAACCGGCCCTTCTTCAGAGCTGTGTGGATAGAAAGAAATGCAACCGATTTAGTAACAACAATAATGTTCATGTGGATTATTCTTCAACTTTGGCCAATTTACACCCTTTAATTGTTAGAAAATACACTCAAGACACACTCTAACTAGTTTATTTCACAGGAACTTATTTCAAGTTATTTAGGACTGTCATTCCTCGATTAAATTTGAGTGCACAATTTTTGATCACAATTTTACCTGTGGCAATTAAAGGTACAGTGTGTGATTTTTAACGGATTCTAGCGGTGAGGTTGCGAATTGCAACCAACAAAAGTTACGGTGGACGACAGGAAAAGATGCGAGACAGCAGAGAGTAGCCAGTTAAGCAATGAGGTTTCTTTACAAAGATAAATTAAGAAATTAGGTTTACTTTATTATTCAGTAAAACGATGTTATTGCGAATATTATTGTTACTTGTTCATCATTGTGTCAGTGTTTTATTCGCTGACTTTAGCTAGCTTCCTTGCACGAAGAACAACATAGTAACGAAACGCGTTTGTCCGTTTAGGGCTACTGTAACATGTCGGCACATTGCAATGTAAGGGGACCCGTGGTGTATGTAGATAGAAATGGCTCATTCTAAGGTAAGGCTGCTGAAAAAGTAATATATTTTTAACTCGTTACTTCTGTAATATGCCCCCAACAACTGCTTCTGATGTAGCAACAAATGCAATGTGTGATATTGTGGGAAAAAATAAAATAAATTAAATGAAAACATAACGGTTCATTAATTAAGGTCTTTATACACCACTGAAAACAGTTATGTATATGATATTGCATTTCAGTCAACAGATCCTCCTAAATATTACCTTAACCGGCAAAATACCGGAAGTGGGGCATTCCACAGACTTGAATCCATGAAGTGCGGGCGGCACTTTAAGCATTTACAAGCATGAAGGTTACACTTTTCTTCCAGCGGTTCAGAGTTCACAGTACATGCTGCTCTACAGTAACTCAGTCTCTGCATGTGCCGTTTGTTTGGGTTTACAATAAAGTGCATTTGGGAACGCATATAAAGTCTGACACGCTTTGTGTTTCATAGCGAAGTGTTGCACTGTTATCATTTACATGTGTGGAGAATGTCTCAGCAGCTGAGTTAACAAACTCTATCTCTGCATATGCTGTGAGTTTGAGTTGCTTATAACGTTCACGCAATGTAAACTTGAGTTTGTAGATTAAACCTACTTGTAATGTAAATAATTTATAAACCTATGCCAACAGAAGAACATCAATCTATCCTAAAGAAGAAGAAAAAATGTAAGATTAAGTGGACACTTGAATTAAATGTTGTTTGGCCAATACTAAATAAAGATTTGATCTTACTGTAAAGTGTAACAACAACAATCACCCGGCTGTTGGCGCCCTATGCAGGCATTTGATATAATCCAAAATGTACATAAGTTGATTATGTTTATATTATTTTACATTGTGTATTTTATCAGTGTTGTTCAATAAAACCATATGAATACTTGCTTCTAAAACTTTATTTGAATTATTATTGCCCCATTTTTATATTATATATAAATTTGTGGTTCCTGGATATTATATATAAAAATACATTTATATATGTATTTGAAGTCATTTTAGGCTATTGTTCACTTAGATCTATTTTTATAACCACACACACACACACACAAAAAAAAAAAAAAAAAAAAATATCAGAGTACTAGATTCATTGTCTAAATAATAGACCGATTAATCGATTGCCAAAATATTCGTTAGTAACAACCCAAAAGTCATTTATCATTAAAATGTCCACCACAGTATAATTTCCACCATATTTCCAGAAATATTTTTAGTTTTTTAGCATTCAGTGGTGGAAATGACATTGATGCAAATGACATTTGGAACATTTTGGACACTTTTGCCTAGCTAAGGATAATTAAATTACAAACATTTTACATACGGTAAGCTAAATAAACACAAACAATATTTTCACACTTTTTGCATAATTTTACAAAATTACAGCTTGATTGTAAACAAACTTTTATTATTAATTTAATTTATTATTATTATTATATTTCCAATTAAAATATATTTAAAACACTAAATATGTTTTAGTATTATATAAAATAATACTATTTTAACATTATTATTGTCACGGAGCGCTCTACAACACCTCCTTCTGGCGTCATCAGATCACTCTCCCCTGAATATTAGGACTGCACTTCCCATCACCCCCTTCACCATCTGATCACCATCCATCCCTGCCTCATCATCATCACTGTCACCTGTGCACACTCAGACTCCTTTATCTGGCCCCTTCTCCCCATGTTCATTGCGAAGTCTTGTTTTGCCCTGCAGACATTTCCAAGCATTCCTGAGCGTTTCCAAGTATCTCTGGTTTTCCTGGTTCCCTGGACTCTGTTGCTGCAAATGGATCTGAACGCATCTGACTCCTCGTTACAATTATTGATATTTGTATCACTTCAATCATATTTACCTTAATTTTCCTCACACTTCAAATGTCTCATATTTCAAGTATGCTCTGCATTGCCATTGTCATCTCTGGTAAGCAATTGCAACTTTTGACCATTTTCCTTTAAATAAAAGGAGCAAAAATCAATGAGTACAGTAAAATATTTAGTTTTTAAAATTATTTATACAGATTTTTATATATTTAGTTAATATAGTTTTTATATGATGATATTTTTTATTTATTTTTTATTCCTGGTATGTAAAAGTACCTGGTGTTGAAGAAACACCCATTAATAAAGGCACTTTTGTTTTATAAAATATCGGTCTGCTCAAGAAGCAGTAACACACTGCACATTTTTTTTATCATAAAGTCTCTTAATCTCTTCATACAAGATTTGTACTGCATGGTTAATGATGCATTAAATGCAGTGCGTCAGTTTACATAGCTAAAAGGTCTTTGCTTAATGTAATTTCAAATCAGTTTAATATACTTTTCCACAATTCATCCACACCACTGCTTTTGAAGTCATTATCACTGTGACAAGCCAGTGACATAAAAATGACAAAACATAAAATGTTAATAAAATACCCATGGGCTATTTTTAAGGAATTGAGGTGAGTGACTACCATCTTAGCCAGTGAATACAGCACAAATAAAGCTGGATCTTAAAATACATCATTCCACTTTCACCCCAAATAAGGTGAGAAATAAACAGAGGGCCCCTCAAGACACACACACAAAAACGTGATATTATTTAGATAAGGTATTGTCAAGGAGTCGCGCACTTTCTCTGTTCGTCGGAGAACAGACGTTTCCTTCCACAGAACCTCAGTCCTTTGACACTGTCATTGAGAAGAACTCTGACTCAACCACACTGACATCTACAGAGTTGGAAATGATGTAAGAACGGCGTGACATGACACACACTTTCCACACTACTCCACACATGCTAATGAGTTAATCTTTGCAAGGCTGGATTGAGAGATCTTGCGCACTGTGAACTCACATTCAGAAATAACTCCAACTCAAGCCACACCAGACTGAACAGCAGCTATTTTAGGATCTTTACGAGTTAAAGGAACACGCCGACTTTTTGGGTCTTTGGCTTATTCACCGTATCCCCCAGAGTTAGATAAGTCCATAGTATACCTTTTTCATCTCCGTGCGTGCTGTAACTCTATCTGACGCACCCACCGCTAGCCTAGCTTAGCACAAAGACTTGACTGGCTCCAGCTAGCATACTAATCCCTATAAGTGACAAAATAACGCAAACATTTTCCTATTTACATGTTGTGATTTGTATAGTCACAGAGTGTACAAATAACAAGATCATATGAGACACAGCCATCTTTTAACCGTATAAATATTGGGAACTATATTCTCAGAAGGCGAAGCACTGCTACTTGGGCGGAGTGATTACTGCAGCACCTGAGACGCACCGCGGTGAGGAGCAGAGAGTTTGTTCAGAGTTGGAGTAATCGAGTCAGCAATTAGATAGAAAAGCATAGTTTATCATGGATGTTCGCTGAATTGTAAAGAGCTGCGACAATAAACAGTGGAGACCAAGTAATACCATGATGTTTCAATGTTTGTGTTATTTTGTCACTTATTGGGATTAGTATGCTAGCTGGAGACATTTACATCCAGTCTTTGTGCTAAGCTAGGCTAGCGGTGGGTGCGTCAGATAGAGTTACAGCACGCACAGAAATGAAAAAGGTATGTATGGACTTATCTAACTCTGGGGGATACGGTGAATAAGTTAAAGTCCCAAAAAGTCGGCGTGTTCCTTTAAAACCACACAGTAAATAAGCCGAAACAGCAACCCGCCATTCTCAAGAAAAATGATCTTTTGTAAAGTCACAAAGTCAACATGAAATCAAAACTGACTCCCTAATAAAAATTCCTGGTGTTGATTTTATGATTCAATTATTCATTGAATTTATTGAAAAAAAAAATCTATAATTCTATTTAATATAATATATATATATTACTCACTGACCCAAACTTATATATCAATATATAAACCTCTCTTCACCTGTCACAGAGACCAATGTTCACAATTTGATCAGTTCCCGATGGATAAAATCAATTCCTGCCCTACATTTTTTCTTGTTCTTTTGGGAAATGTCACATTACACAAGTAAATGGGTTGTGAATGCAGTTTTTCTAAAGTCACGTTGACTTCAACAAAACACAACTGCATATTTATGAGATTTTGGAGGTTTCTTTTTTCTTTTACTTTTCATTAGCGCTCACTCCTCTCTTTTCAACAGGAGTAAAGGGGTCAGAGACACACAAGCAAATGTCTCCCAATGGGATCCCGAGTCTCAAGCTAGCCATGAGCCAAAGCAAAACACCGCAAACTCATTTCCCAGTCATTTTTGAGAATGCTGTGCATCTGGCCCTAATTATTAATCAGTGACTGAATTATTTAAAAACAGCTTTTAGGAAATCTTATCAACCAATTTATTTGCATTAATTCTGCACATTTTACAATCTGTTACAATCTGGACTGCTAAGAGAGGATGTTTCAAGGTGGACTACGATGCTGATACTGGCAGAGA